AACCCCAAACCCTAAACACCAAACCCCACACCATACCCTAAACACTACACCCCAAACCCCAAACCCATAAACCCTGAACCCCCAACCCTTAAACGCCAAACCCCAAACCCTAAACCCTAAACCCCAAACCCAAAACCCCAAACCCCAAACCCTAAACCCCAAACCCCAAACCTTCAAAACCCAAAACCCTTAAACCCTAAACCCCAAACCCTAAACCCTAAACCCCAAACCCCAAACCCCAAACCCTAAACCCCAAACCCCAAACCCTAAACCTTCAAAACCCAAACCCTAAACCTTCAAAACCCAAAACCCTTAAAGCCTAAACCCCAAACCCCAAACCCTAAACCTTCAAGACCCAAAACCCTTAAACCCTAAACCCCAAACCCTAAACCCTAAACCCCAAACCCACAACCCTAAACCCCAAAACCCAAACCCTAAACCCCAAACCCCAAACCCTAAACCTTCAAAACCCAAAACCCTTAAACCCTAAACCCCAAACCCTAAACCTTCAAAACCCAAAACCCCAAACCCCATACCCTAAACCCCAAAACCCAAACCCCAAACCCTAAACCCTACACCCTCTCAACCTCCCAGCCGTCCTCGTCTCGAGGCTTGGCCCCATCGACGCGCTCTTCCTCCAGCTCCGGGAGTGCGTTCTAGGGGCAGGGTTCCTAGTTTAGGGCTTCGGGTTTAGGGTTTAGGGTTTTGGCGTTTTAGTGTTTGCTTAGGGCTTTTTTGGGGCTTTTAGAAAGCTTGCTAACTCATTGTGGTGTTTGTTTAGGGTGTTTTAGGGCTTGTTGAGTTCTTCTTTATGGCTTTTCAGGGCTTCTGAGGGCTTCCCTTGAAGTCTCAGAAGAAATCTCATTGCCTGCGGCTGAATGTTAGGGTTTGGGGTTTAGGGGTTTAGGGTTCCGGCTGAATGTCGAGAAGGACCCTCTTGCTTCACGACCAAAGGCGACGCAGCTTGGGACTTCGTGTTTCGGGTTTAGGGTTGAGGCAATTCTGAGTACCTCAGCAACCCTCTTCTAATCAGAGTGCAACCCTCTTCTAATCAGAGTGCCTTTTATTTTGTTTTTCCTTTATTTTTCTGTTGGGGGGTCCTTTCTAAGGGAACTCAGAACCAACAGAAAACAATAAAGGGCACCACGTGGCTGAGGCAGAGCTTGGGAGGAACTGTTCTCTCGATCTGCAGCCCTTACAACCCCTGGACTTCTCTTGGGTAGGCTTGGGGTTTAGGGTTTAGGGTTTAGGGTTTAGGGTTTAGGGTTTAGGGTTTAGGGTTTAGGGTTTAGGGTTTAGGGTTTAGGGTTTAGGGTTTAGGGTTTAGGGTTTAGGGTTTAGGGTTTAGGATTTAGGGTTTAGGGTTTAGGGTTTAGGGTTTAGGGTTTAGGGTTTAGGGGGATTGGAGGTAGCAAACATTAACGCTTGTGTTCAAACCTACCCCCGTTTCCTGTCAAGCCTGAAGCCTCCTCCACTTTTCCAAAAAATAAAACGGACCCAGACTTCAGAAGTCCAAGGGGGGGCCCTTTCACGCAGCCCCTAAAGAACCCTAAGGGTCCATGCACCTAAATATGGAATACTTGGCCCTTAAAGTACTTCCTATAGAGGCACTTTGGGGCCCAAGTGTATAACAATACGGTACATGGACCCTCAGGGTTACAACCCCTGGACTTCTCTTGGGTAGGTTTGGGGTTTAGGGTTTCGGGTACCCTGAACCCTAAACCCTAAACCCTAAACCCTAAACCCTAAATATAGAAATTCGAAGGAAGAATGGCTTCAACAGGAGAAGCCGTGGGCTCCACTGAGTTCCAGACTGCATGGCCAGCCCCAGCCGATGTGAGAGCATCTGCGCGACAATGGGTTTAGGGTTTAGGGTTTAGGGTTTACAGTAGGGTTTAGGGTTTAGGGTTTAGGGTTGAGGGTTGAGGGTAGCTCAGACCCTGAGCCCGAACCAAACCCGAACTGCTGGGTGTTGCCACTATTTAATACTTGCGTAAAAACCCAGGGTTGTTCCTTGCGAATGCAAAATGGGAGTTTAATCTTTCACTCCTTAGGGGGAACCTAAGCAACATGGTAGGTTGGGGGGTTTCGGGTTTCAGGGTCTCCGCAAGATTGCACCGGACCACACAGGAACCAAGCTTGCAGGCGCAAGCCGTTCCTGACAGCCTGAAGCAATCGAGCGAATGAAGCGCAAGCCCTCACGCATGATTCGCATGTAAAGAGCGTTTAAGTGGCTGAGGAGTTTTTTTCGCACCCTTCCACACAACGGCGCGAGTACATCTCCAAAACCTGCGCCCAACACCCTCAACGGGAGAACCTCACCACGAGAAGTGCACCCTGGACGTTCCGGCGAGCGCAAACATCGAACGCCAACCGAAACCCTCAACACAGCGCCCCCCCCCCCCCCCCTTTAGGGGGGGCTTAGGGGGTGTAGGGTTTAGGGTTTAGGGTCCCGGGCTCAAGGCTTGGAGGTTCACGGGTAGTTGCAGGTAAGGTTAGATAGGTACCCAAAATCAGGTTGAAACCCTATAATTACCCGAATTAGACTAATTTTATACCGAAAATGAGGTCATAACCCTATAGTAACCCTAATTATACCCAAAACTAAGTTCTAACCCTATAGTTACCCTAACTATTCCCAAACATAATTAGGCCTACAGCTACCAGAACTGTAACCCTACGTATACCCATGAACCTCCCTTCCAATAATCCTTTATTTCAGGTTGAGGCTTCTCGAGGGAAACGATCCCCAAGGGCACTTAGAGGTCTATTCTGTCAGTCCGAACTCAACGGTTTTCCGCACACTGACGTAGCTGGGCTTGGGGAACCGCACATAATTACCCGGCACAAAAACGAAAGCCTTCAATATCTTGGGATCCTCATGACAATTCCGGAATATCCCTGGACTGACGGGAATGTTGGAGCCTCTGAGAACATCTCAACCCAGCAAAGCCCGCACCTCGCGCGCAGAGCGCGGGGCGTCGCGCGCGCTTTCGGCACCGCCATGCGCGCGCAGCGCCGCGGCTGCCGCGGAGGCTGCCGCCTCAGGGAGCTTCGAGCTTCGAGCCGGAGACATCCTCAGACCAAGAAGAGGCGACCCTGGTTTCCGGGCCTAGAACCTGCGAATTTGTAGGCATTTTGGTGCTTCAGGTAGGGCTCTTCCGAACCTGAACCCCAAACCCCAAGCCGAAGACCCAAAGACCCAAAACCAAGCCCTGCCGGCCTGGGCCGCCGCAATGCTGGACGCCCGCATCTCAACCGTTGTCCCCGGGAACCATGGCGAGAAAGAAGGTGGGAGCTTCTTCGAGGCTTTGGGGCTTCTTGGGGCTTAGGGTTTTTTAGGGTTTTTTGGGGTTTTTTAGGGTTTTCAGGGTTTATAAGGGTTTAGAGGGTGTAGGGTGTAGAGGGTTAAGAGTTAGTGCCATTGGGGCTTAGAGGTTTCAGGGCTTTGTGGGCTTCGGGGTTGAGAAGGTTCAGAGGGGTTGTGGCGGAGGATCTTGAGTAGAGAGGAGGACGTGAAATCTCCGAACCCGACGGTTCAGGCCTACTGGGAATTAGGGCTATAGGCCGTTCAGTGGGCCTAGAGGGTTCAGGGTTCATCTGCTGCCCATGCTTTGGGGGACATGCTCTCGAAACTTTAAGTTCTTAAGGCACCTCATGTTCATGTCGTTCTATGTCCTGGAGCCCGCGAAAGGGCGCAGATGCACAAGCTTGGCCGCGCTCCACTTCTTGGAGGTTCAGGGTACTTAGTAGCCCAATCATGACTGAACTTATGACCCAATCATAACCCTATTAGGGTGCTTAGGGGGCTTCTAAGTGGGTAACAACTACACTTATAATTGGGTTCGAAGTACTCTGAACCTCCAGTAACCCTAAACCCTAAACCCTAAACCCGAAACCCTAAACCCTAACCCTAAACCCTAAACCCCAAACCCTTACAATTGGGTTAGAACTACCCTGAAGCTCCACTAGCAGCCGCAGCCTGGCACAGTTCTACATGTCCAGAACGCTAGACGCTTCACCCTTCAAACCTCAAGCCTGAAATCTTGAACCTCCCTAAACCCTAAACCCTAAACCCTATAAACCCTAAACCCTAAACCCTAAACCCTAAACCCTAAACCCTAAACCCTAACCCTAAACCCCAAACCCTACACCTTGAACCCGAAGCCTCTGGACGCAGATCCGAAAGAACTGAAGCAGGGAGTGTCGAGGTCGGGCTTAGGGGCTTGGGGTTGTTAGGGTTTAGGGTTCAGGGTTTAGGGTTTAAGGGTTTGGGGTTTAGGGTTTAGGGTTTAGGGTAAGGTTTAGGAGTTTCGGGTGCAAGGTTTAGGGTTTAAGGTTGAGGGTTTAAAGCTTAGAGTTTAGGGTTTAAGGTTTCCAGGATTAGGGTGTTGCGTTGTAGGGGTCTGGGGATGGGAGCCCTAAACCCTAGTTAAACCCCAAGCCCTAAGCCCCAAGCCCTACGCCCTAAGCCCTAAACCCTAAACCCCTACACTCAGTCTTAAGAGCTTAAGGTTTTACAGGGTCTCGGTGTCGTAACCGAGAACCCCTCTGTCAAGCAAGCCCCGTATCCACGTAGAACCACCCGAAAGTAACTGAACCCCATCACCCCACAACCCCAAGACTCCAGCACCTTTTACTTCCCCTCATTGTTGAACCCTGAACACCGAATCTGCCCGACTGGATCTTAAACCCAGAGCAAAGCCTAACCACTAAACCCTAAACCATGAACTAACCTTGCGACAAAAGCAACAACCCCTGTAAAGGTAGCTCAAAAGCCTCATAGACCTTTGCAAACACCCCAAATTATGATTTACAACTAGGCTTCGATATTACTTGGAGGTTCAGGGGTACCTATAATAAGTAGGGTGATCAGTGCTCTTTATAAAGTTTGTAACCAAGCTACCCTACTTAAAACCCTACGTAGAATAAGTACCGATGAACCTCCAAGCAGTCAAGCAGCACCCCCAATTCGTCACCCAGCTAAAGCAGCCCTCGTCCTTCAGGGGGCTGACCCTGGTGCCGGGTGGCGCGCGGCGCCGCCTAAATCAGGTCAAGGCCACACTAAAGCCCCAAACCCTTAACCCCAAACCCTAAACCCTAAACCCTCAACCCTAACTCTATACTCTATAACCCTAAACCCTAAGGGGATTTGGGGAGCGATGTTGGAGGCGTCTCAAGGGCCAGGTTCGTGGCTTGGGGTTGAGGCTTGGTAGCCCCGTAGCCATGTTACATAAGAAGGGTCCCCTTTTGGGAGTGTAGGGTTTAGGGTTTAGGGTTTAGGGTTTAGGGTTTAGGGTTTAGGGTTTAGGGTTTAGGGTTTGGGGTTTGGGGTTTAGGGTTTAGGGTTTAGGGTTTATGGACTTAGAACCCAGAAAGGGCTGAAGGGCACCACTCAGCTACCAAATATAGGGTTTAGGGCTTCAGGCAGGTTGTTAAGGGCGTTCAAACACCCCAGTGTCCAGCAAAGAACAGGCCAAACACCAAGGTTTCAGGTTTTGCTTTCGGTTACGAGCTCATAGGGGTTTAAGGGTTGAGGGTTTAGAGTTGAAAAGGTTCATGGTCCATGGTTGCTGCTGGAGCAAAAGGATTCCGTTCGACGAATCCTCCAAAAGGGCTTTTGTTAGGGCTCACGGCTCAGGAGTCCTAGGGTTTAGGGTCAAACAAGGTCTTGCTGTCTGAAGAACTCTGCCCCATGCTCCCCAATAAATTTAGCACACCCAAACAGCCTGAACGACCTTCAGCCCTGAACCCTGAACTACCCTAAGCCCTGAAACCTAAACCTGCAACTTTGCCTGACCTCCCTGAAGTGCCCTAAACCCTAAACCCTAAACCCTAGACCCTAAACCCTAAACCCTAAACTCAAGGCCTCGGCCGCTCCCCTACAATTGGGGGGCGGTGCCTAAGCCCCTCGACCTCGATAGCGCAAGTCGACCCAGCTCATTCGCCCGACAGCCCCTGGGACACTCCCCTGAATTCCCCCCCTAAAACCCTGGCACCTTTTTTTGGGACTTTCCACTCTTCTGTGCCCCCTCGTGGGCTGGGAACCCCTTTCCCTGAGGGTGGCTCTGAGGAAAGTCTGTTACAACCTCTGATGGAACGTCCCAAAACGGAAGAAGTTCTTAGAAGTGGACTGTTGCCTTGAGTTTAGGCCTAAACCCTAAAAGGAAAAGGTTTGGGTGGCTTTGCCGCCTCGGACAGCGTGGGGGGGGGGGGGGGGGGGGGGGGGAGAAAAGTGTAGATGGCCTTCCACAATCGGGCCAAAGCTGCTCTTCGCGCCTCACGAAGCTTTCGAGCTTGTTCCAAAGCCTTCCTATCACAACCCTAAACCCTAAACCCTAAACCCTAAACCCTAAACCCTAAACCCTAAACCCTAAACCCTAAACCCTAAACCCTAAACCCTATCAAAGCCCCCAACTTGAGCAGCTCCCGGCTTGCCGAGTCGCACGTGGCCCGGCTTGGAGACCGTGGGCTTCTCCTTTTGGTCCTCGGCGCCTTGGCCCGGATGTGGGGTTAGGGTTTATAGGTTGATAGGGTTTATAGGGTTGATTATAGGGTTTATAGGGTTTAGGGTGTCTCAATTGAGGGGGGTGGGGGGGGGGGGGAGGGGGGGGGGGGGGGGGGGGGGGGGGGGGGGGGGGGGGGGGGGGGGCGCTGGTGCGAAAAGCACCCTGGCGCGCGCCCTGACTTGTTGAGCCCCCCCCACTCGCGCTCCACCCTCGCCTTGACCTTTGCGGAGGTTTCCTTGCTTTCTGATCGTACTCATGAATATAATTCTTGTTGACAACGGTGCCCTAGCATTCTTGTGAAGACCCTCCTGGGAGACCTCGGGTTTCTAAGCCCCCTCTAACAGGTATCGGGGAGGCTGCGGTGTCTGAGGTTTGTTTCTAGGGTGCCTGGGAGGCCTCGGATCTTTGATAGGAAATGAAAACTGAGGTTTGGTGTTGGGGGTTGGCTGGCGCCTTCGCCCCTTGGTGTTGCAAGGGTGTACATCTTTGTAGGGCCACTGGGAGGTGTCCGGGAGCCTTCGGTGTCTGAGGTTTGGTGTTGGGGGTTGGCTGGCACCTTGGTGGTGCAAGGGATGTGCATCATTCTGGAACCTGTTGAGGTTAAACCTTTCGAGGACCAAAAGTAGGTCCTTGGGTTGAAAGCAACAGCTGAAACACTGGCTTTGGCGTTGGGGATCACAGCATGTGGGTTGCCTGGCACCAGCCTGGAAGCCTCCAGCATGTGAGGGAGGCCCCTGCCTAGGAGGCCCTGCCTGGGAGTTGGAAGCTGGGGAGGCCGCCTCAGGCACATCCGGCCAATCTGAACAAGTGGACTCAGAGTACAAGCACATGAAGTCGGCGCTGGTCATTTTCCTTTCGATCACCAGATGATTCTGACATGCTTTGACCAGGGCGCAAGAGGGTTCAGACGTCGCGCTTCGGAGCGTGGTTTGGTCCCCCCCCCCCACCCCTTGCCTGGCCAACTCTGTCTAACCGTAACCTCGAAATCCCCGAAACCCGGAACCCTAAAACCCCAAACTCCTGAAACCGGCCCACGCACACACATATCCAGTCGAACACTTTCGCCTCGACGTTGAGTCGAAGAAACGGCGCGAAAAGGAAATCAATATCCACCAAAGGAATGAACCAAAGCGAACTCACCTCGCCGCCGTCAACTAAAACAAACAAAGCAAATACTCAACCCTAAACCCGAAACCCGAAACCCGAAACCCGAAACCCTAAACCCTAAACCCTAAGCCCCGAACCCCAAACCCTAAGCCCACAAGCTAACAACAAAACCAAATAAGGCCGCGGCTGGTCGAGTTGCCGGCCGGCTCCTCCGTCCTTGCTCGGCGCTCACGGCTGTTTGGGTCTCAAAGGTTTAGAGTTTAGGGTTTAGGGCTAGGGTTTAGGGTTTAGGGTTTAGGGCTAGGGTGTTTAGGGTTTAGGGTTTATGGTTCAGGGTTGTGGGCTCAAATTGAAGGGTTTAGGGTTCGGGGTTTAGAACTCTAAGGCTCTAAGGGTTTAGGGTTCATGGGTTGAGGGCTTTAGGGTTCCGAGCGCCCAACGCCAAGCCTACGCCCTCGATTCAACTCTCAACACGGGAATCAGGCACCCAAAACGCTGAAACCCTACACCCTCAGCCCTCATCGTTTCGGGGCTTTAGTTTGCTTGTACAGAACTGTTTGCTTGTATAGAACGTAGCTTGTATAGAACTTAGCGAGATATGGGTTTAGGCTTTAGGGTTTATAGGGCCCAGCAAGCTAAGAAAAGATTGGGAAACCCCCACAGCTCCTCAAAAAAGACCCCCCAAGGCCCTAAACCCTAAACCCTAAACCCCAAACCCTAAACCCTAAACACCCTAAATTAACCCCTGCATCTCCGTCACTAGTGCCACGCGGCGTCTTCTCAGCCTCGGCATCTTTTTGGGTGTCCGCCGCGGCAGGCACACCTGGCCTGCTGGCTCGAAGGGGGGAGTTTGGGGCTTAGGGCAAAGTAACCCTAAACCCTAAACCCTAAACCCTAAACCCTAAACCCTAAACTTAGGGTATAGGGTTTAGGGTTAAGGGTGTCGGGACATATCCTTGGATTCGTGGACCCCCTACCTTGGAGATTTGTAGGTCCTTAGCTAGATACAGCGTATGATTTGCTCAAATGGAGGGTTTGGGGTTTAGGGTTTAGGGTTTAGGGTTAGGGTTTAGGGTTTAGGGTTTAGGTGTTTAGGGTTTAGGGTTTAGGGTTTAGGGTCTAGGGTCTAGGGTCCAGGGTCCAGGGTCTAGGGTTTAGGGTTTAGGGTTTAGGGCTTAGGGTTGAGGGGGTCCTTTCATCAGCACTGAGAAGCAAAAGCAGTTGGCCTTTCCTCTTCTGAGAAATAGACAAACAAAAGAACGCAGAGGGTTCAAATACCCGAGAGTTATGGTTTTAGTAGGGCCCAATGATTTTGGGACTATGGATTGTGGGGCCTAAGAACACAGCTAAAGGACATTTGGACCCTCTAAGGAAGAACTCAAGAAGGATTTGGCCAGCTACATGTGGGGAAGAGGCTGCAGTGCTCTTTTCCTAGGCTCTAAACCCAAATCCCCTGAACCCTCAACTTAGATCCCTAAATCCCGAAATAGGCACTCCTGCCTCAATGTCGGCCAGCCCTCTGCACCGTTTCTGTCCGCAAGCGTTTTTTGATTTTTTTCACAATCTCGTCCGACCTCGCCAACCCAAGAGAACCACTCTCCCGAATAGTCCGCGACATGAAATCTTTTGGTGAATGTCCCTAAACCCCAAACCCTAAACCCTAATAACCCTGAACCCTAAGCCCCATCCCCCCAAACTGCTGCAAAGTGGCTCGGAGGTCGCTGGGGCCGTTGCCTGGAGGTCCATCTCAACGGGCGTACTCTGTGCCAAACTGGGTAGGTTTGGGGGCCCGATGAACAATAGTTGTTTCTTGCCTTGTAAGGATGATATAAGGGATTAAGGGTCATGAAAACTAATGGGGACTCTATTCTTATGGATTTATAAGGATTCGATAGGGGATAAGGGTAATAAGAATAAATAATTTTGCGCAAAACCTACTTTTGCAAAGGCCTTTTGAGGAACTACATTGTTCCCCCAGAAGTCTTTGTTTTGTAATGTTTCGTCGTGGTTTTCAACCCAAACTGTATACTTGCATCTCCAATTCCCTGGATTGTTCGGGGAAGTTGTGGCCACATACGTAAGCCGCTATGTAACTTTTAACCTTGCTTGCAGAGCTCCTGCCTAAACCCTAAACCCCAAACCCTAAACCTAAACCCCTAAACCCCTAAAACCCTAAACCCCTAAACCCCTAAACCCCTAAACCCCTAAAACCCTAAAACCCTAAAACCCTAAAACCCTAAAACCCTAAAACCCTAAACCCTAAAACCCTGAACCCAAACCCCTAAACCCCTAAACCCAAAAACCCTAAAACCCTAAACCCTAAGCCCCAAACCCTAAACCCCAAACCCTGAGGTCCCTGAAGTCCCCCAACTCCCTGGCGCCTCGGCGGCGGACTCCGCGGGCGCCACAGCCGCGGGTTCCGCAGCCGGTGTGGGATCGGAGGCATCGGCCTCCCACACCCCCGGGATAACCTTAAGGGTTGAGGGTTTAGGGTTTAGGGTTTAGGGCTAGGGTTTAGGGCTTAGAGTTTAGGGCTCCTAAGAATGACCCAAGAGTAGTAGAGGGCATTGTTTTGGGGGGCTGTATGCTTTTTGGGGGTCGTCGGAGGCATCAGGCTCCGCTTCGGCACTTCGGCTTGAGGGCTTTGGGGTTTAGGATCGTTTAATATATCCATACTATATGTGTGTATGTATATATATATATATATATGTATAAGTATAAGTATGTATATATATATAGATATATATATATATATATACATATCTGTCTGTAGATATTATGTTCTTCTAACTTTTGCGGGGGGAGGGGGAGGGAGCATAAATTCTAGGGTTTAGGGTTTAGGGGTTTATGTTTTTGAGGTTTAGGGTTTGAGGTTGAATCCTGCCCCGCCCCCCGGGCCTTGGAAGGCTCGGGCGACTCTGGCGGAGGCTCTGCTGCAGGCATTGGCGGCTCCTGCTGGGCCGGTCACTGGAGCTTTGGCAACGCATTATAAGGCTACACACAGGCTACTATTGTGGCTATCCTACTTGCAACCCCAATTCTAGCCCCAGTCATGACTCATGACTGCCCATGATTCCTCGCTTCGGAATCTGCTCTACACTGAGTGTATGGTTTGGGTTGGTTTCGCGGCATGCTGTCTTCACAAGAAGGACTCTTGGTTTTGAGTTGCTTGCCTGTCAAGGTATCTTAAACTGCGGGCACGTCAGGTGCTTTGGGCCTTGTGTTAACACACCTAGTAGTTCACCTGGGATTGGACTACATCCTGCGGAATGATGCTGACTTGCATCGGGGCAAGAGCACACGATGACGTACGAATCCGAGTCCGGCAAGACCCCGAACCCCAAGCAACAAAAAAACAATACTCAGCTTCAAAACCAGCCAGTGCCACGAGGTCTCAGGCCAAAAAAAAGCCGGTCAAAACACAAACTCACACATAAAAGCAGTGGTAACCCCAGAAGGCCCTTCTGAGCGATGTGAGCAAGCCTTCGTCACATTCATCATTCTCATTGAGTCATGAAGAGCAGCCCCAGTTAAACAAAGATCATGCCTAAACCCTAAACCCGAAACCCTAAGCCCTAAACCCTAAACCCTCACCATCAAAAGCCCGACGGAGCCTTGGAGCCGGTTTTGGTCTCTTCTCGGGCAGGGGCCTCTCGAGCCGAGTTTTTCAACCCCAGAGCATCGGTGGTTTCTGCTAGGAGGGGGAGATTAGGGTTTAGGGGTTTAGGGGTTTAGGGTTTAGGGTTTAGGGTTTAGGGCTTGGGGTTTGGGGTTTAGGGTTTAGGGTTTAGGGTTTAGGGTTCAGGACTTGGGGTTGCCAAAAGGGGGTTTTGGGATTGATATGGGGGCTTCCGAAAATGGGGGGGGGGGGGGTAGTTTTTAGGGTTTAGGGTTTAGGGGTTTGGGGTTTTAGGGTTTTAGGGTTTAGGGTTTAGGGTTTAGGGTTTAGGGTTGAGGGTTTAGGGTTTAGGGTTTAGGGTTTAGGGTTTAGGGTTTAGGGTTTAGGGAGTGGCTGTGGAAGGTGAAGGGTTTCGAGTTTTGGGTTTGGGGGATGACTTGGTAGCCCAGCAAGCATCTCATAGTCAGGGCACCCTCTTGTTGAGTTGGTTACTTTATAAGGGAACCAGGAACCCAAAAAAAGAGTAGAGGGTTTAGGGTTTAGGGTTTAGGGCTACCAAGATGACGTTTAACTTGCACGCTCTTCCGAATGAGGCTTCGCACTCTGCAATGACATGTTTTGACGGCTCTCGATCGTCGCCAGGCTGCTTCGCGACTAGATGGCGCAACCCTAAACCCTAAACCCTAAACCCTAAACCCTAAGCCCCAATACCCTAAACCCTAAACCCTAAACCCTAAGCCCTAAAACCCCAAATTTCAAACCCTAAGCCCCAAGCGCTTGCACAGGCTTTAGGGCTTTGACCCCTGAAAGTCCCAGGAACTGGAACCCAGTTCCGAAAGTAGCCATGGTATAGGGTTTAGGGCTACCAATTAGCAGGAAGCCAGAACCCAAGAGAAGGAACCCTAAACCCTAAACCCTAAACCCTAAACCCTAAACCCCAAGCCCTAAGGGCACAAGAGCACCGAGCAAAGCTCGGACGGGGGCCTTGGCCGGGGCCTTCTTGGGCTTCGGAGCCGCCTTCTTCTTTTTCTTCTTGGGCCCTGGCAGCGCAGCGTTTAGGGTTTAGGGTTTAGGGTTTAGGGTTTAGGGTTTAGGGTTTAGGGTTTAGGGTTTAGGGTTTAGGGTTTAGGGTTTAGGGTTTAGGGTTTAGGGTTTAGGCTTTAGGGTTTAGGGTTTAGGGTTAGGGTTTAGGGTTTAGGGCGTGCCAGACGGGAGCGCGCTTTGGGAGCGCGCGGTAGTCTGCAGACCTACCCACCCCAAGACCGCCCACTTACAACTCTCAAGGAGTTAAGACCTTTTATTTTTTTACAAAGCATCACATGAGTCAGCACTCACGCCCTTTTTCGGGATTTCCACAAGGTGCGTGGACCAGGCGCAAAGCTGCAGCAGACGGAAACGAGGCAGGGTCCGTGAAGACAGCTTGGGTTGGTGCGAAGGGGCTAAGGGATGGGCCAGGAACAGAGAAAGGCAGCGAGGCTTGGTTGGCGCGAAGGGGCTCCAGCCAGGAAGACCACACAGTGAACAGCTTGGGTTGGGCAGAGCGCCACGGAAACAGGGCTGGTGTGGCGGATAGCTTGGCTTGAAGGGGGTAAGGTGGGGTGCCAAGCAAGGCAGGACAGATTGGGTTGGCGCGAAGGGGCTAAGAGCGCCCCGAAACAGGACACAAACTGGTGCGCGGACAGCTTGGCTTGGCGCAAGGGCGTAAGATGACTCGAACAGGCCAAGGCCAGGGCCAGGCCGCAAAACTAGTCAGGGCAGAGGGTGAGGGTCAGGATCAGGTCAGGTCAGGTCAGGGCCAGGGTCAGGGCAAGGCCAGAGTCAGGGGCCACAGCGCGGGGCTGGGGCCAAGGCCAGGGCCAGGAAACCAAGGGCCGGGTCCAGGTCCAGGTCCAGGGCCAGGGCCAGGGCCAGGGCCATCAGGGCTCTGGGCCAGGGCCAGGGCCAGAGGGCCAGGGCCAGGGTCAGGGGGAGGGCCAGGGCCAGGGCCAGGGCCAGAGCCAGAGCCAGGGCCAGGGCCAGGGCCAGGCCCAGCAGGGCCAGACCCAGGGCAGGGCCAGGGCCAGGGGCAAGGGCCAGGGTCAGGGCCAGGCCACCAGGGCAGGGCATTTTTGGCCAAGCCCTGCCTGCCCCAACAAAACGGCCCCTGCTCCCCTCAGCCCAGCGGACGGGGGTGAGGGACCAGGGGTCTCAAGGGGCCTTTTCAGGGGGCCCTCCAATGCAGGACCCAACCAGGTGCGCGGACAGCTTATGGTTTAGGGTAATATAATATAATACAGTGACAAACTCGGCCTGTGCCTGCCTGGAGGGTAAGCCAGCCTGGAGGCCAGCTCGGTCGCCCGCCTGGGGCTCCCGGTCCCTCGCAGGGTCTCACTGAGCGCTCGACCAGCGCCCGCCTACCCCAAAAGACAAGAGAGTGGGGTGGCGGGCGGGTTTAGGGTTTAGGGTTTAGGGTTTAGGGTTTAGGGTTTAGGGTTTAGGGTTTAGGGTTTAGGGTTTAGGGTTTAGGGTTTAGGGTTTAGGGTTTAGGGTTTAGGGTTTAGGGTTTAGGGGGTTTAGGGTTTAGGGTTTAGGGTTTAGGGTTTAGGGCTTCTTCTTCTTCTTCTTCTTCTTCTTTCTTCTTCCTTCTTTTCTTCTTCTTCTTCTTCTTCTTCTTGTTCTTCTTCTTCTGGGGGGGGGGGGGGGGGGGGGGGGGGGGGGGGGGGGGATCGGGTTGCAAGTACAGTGAACCTGCAAGTAAAGCCCGCATGAAGACCTCAAACCCCTGTAAGGTTGAGGGCCATGACTCTGGAGAAAACACAGAGCTGCCACGAAAGGTTGAGGGTTTAGGAGTGCGAGCATCCCCAAACCGCTACATCCTGAAACCCAGAACCCCCAAGCTCGCTTAGCCCCCGAAGCCCCTGAAACTCCCTAAACCCTAAACCCTACACCCTAAACCCTAAACCCTAATTGGGTTACGAAGTACCAATAACCTCCAAGTAGGGTTAAGGATTCGGGGGCGCAAGAGTTCTAGTCAGGATGCAGGTCTGCGGCTGGCTAATCCAACGTCTGGGTCGGTTTAGGGTTTTGGGTTTAGGGTTTAGGGTTCAGGATTTACGGGTTTCAGGCTGGCTTAGGGTTAAGGCTTGCGGAGCCCCACCCGGTCCGGCCTTTACTCATAGACAGGTCCACATCTTCCTGCAAAGCGCGAGAGCTCTGCACACTGCGGTAACATGCAGGCAAGCCGCAGGTCACCCAGAGAACCAAAAGAGGGTGACTGAACCCTGAACCCTAAAGCTTGGGATGTTCACCTTTGTACTAACAGCAATAGAGATTATAGTACCCTCTATTGCATTAAGGAATGTTAGCATAAGGGGAAACATCCCAACTTAAAACCCTAAAGAACTTGGCACATTGAAATCTGCGCCGAAGTATCATGACCCTGAGCCCCCATGGCCCGACACTAGCTGCAAGTCTCCAAAGTTCCGAAACGGTCCTCCAACAGCGTACTGGAAGGTTCAGGACCCTAAACCCTAAACCCTAAACCCTAAACCCTAAACCCTAAACCCCTTATAACTTTGTGTACTTCTTACTATAAGTATTAACTCCTAGAAGTTCTTATAAGATGGTTTGAGTCCATGGAGCCTTCTGAAGCGGCAGAGTCGGCCCTCGAAGAGCTTCTGAGAACTGCTCTCGCAAGTTCGGGTCTGGGGTTTGGGGTTTAGGGTTTGGGTTTGGGGTTTAGGGTTTAGGGTTTAGGGTTCAGGGTTTAGGGTTTAGGGTTTGGCGTTTATAGGGTTTAGGGTTTATAGGGTTTAGGGTCCTCTTTTTGAAGCCCAGAAAGGGCAAACCTCAACACCCTCCCGCAGGGCCTAGAGAACCTCATGAAAGCCAGATTCCACCCGAAACCCGAAGCCCCCGAGCAACCCAACCGGACCCCTGGGCGCTGCCCAAAAAAAACCGAGTTCCCTTTTTTTAAATCACGTACAAGACCCTAAAATCCAGCACCTATACGGCCTATACCCTAAAAGCTCATATGGACCCTGAACCACCGACTCTGAATGCCAAGCCTCAAATCCACAAGCCCAGATCCCGAAGCCCCGAAAGCCTTGACCCTCAACCCCAACTCGTAAGCCTGAAATCCGAAACCCCCAACCCTCAACCCAGACTGATACACACCCTACACCCTAAGCCCCAAAACCCTAAACCCTAAACCCTGAAGCCTGAACCCTAAACCCTGAACCCTGAACCCTAAACCCTAAACCCTAAACCCTAAACCCTAAACCCCAACCCTTAGTGACCCACCCCGCCCACCTGCCCCAGGAGCATCCCAAGGTCGAGGGCTAAGGAGCTGAGCTTCCTCGGGTCGAGGGGGGCATTTCGGGGTATGTAGGGTTTAGGGTTTAGGGTTTAGGGTTTAAGGTTTAGGGTTTAGGGTTTAGGGTTCAGGGTTTAGGATTCAGTTTAGGGTTTAGGGTTTAGGGTTCAGGGTTCAGGGTTCAGTTTAGGGTTCAGGGTTTAGGGTTTAAGGTCTAGGGTTTCGGGGCCGTGCAACATGCTCCGCGCACACCACCACGTGGACGTGTGCTGTGGTGCGCGCCAAGGTTTAAGATCACTCCCGGCCTGCCAACCTATGAGCCAGGCTACTAGCCTCATCAACATGGGTGGTTGTCAACATGATCCCTTTTGGGGTACCCTAAATATATAGTGCCGTATTAAAATAGGGATCCAAAAAGGGACCATAATATTGACAACCACCCACCTGGCAGCTCGAAATGTGCCTTCGGGACCTGGCCTTGTTGTGTCCGTACTTCGGGATTCTGGGGCCGTTTTGGTGCCTTTGAAGCATTGAAGTCTTGGTCTACAGAACCTCTTGGGGGGGGGGGGGGGGGGGGGATTTCAAGCCCCGTGAGCCCTACATCCTAAATCCTAAAAGCCCCAGAAAGGCCCTGAACCCCAAATCCAAACCTTAACAGCCCGCAGAAAGGCTATGAACCCAAAGTCCTAAATCCGAAGCCAGAACCTTAAACCTCTACCTGAAGTTGCGCAGCTTAGGGCTTAGGGTTTGTAGGGTTTTGTACGGTTTTGTAGGGTTTATGGCTTATAGGGCTTCTCGGGTTTATCGGCTTTATGGGGTTTGTAGGATTTATATAGAGTTTAGGGTCCATGAATCATGGTTCAATGACATTCTGAACTCTCGAAGAGCTTGGGGACTTTTGCACTTCGGGGGTTCAAGCCGGAAACCCTAAACCCTAAACCCTAAACCCTAAACCCTAAACCCTAAACCCTAAAGCCTAAAGCCTAAAAGCCAAGAGCCTAAAGCCTAAAGCCTAAACCCTTAAGGGCTTTAGGCGAGCATCGTGGCCCAGGTCTTCCACAGAAGAGTATACGCAGCCACGATGCCCTTGCCTGCCATGTCGGGCTGGAGGGTTTAGGGTTTAGGGGTGTGTAGGGTTCAGGGTTTAGGGTTTAGGGTTTAGGGTTTAGGGTTTAGGGTTTAGGGTTTAGGGTTTAGGGTTTAGGGTTTAGGGTTTAGGGTTTAGGGTTTAGGGTTTAGGGTTTAGGGTTTAGGGTTTAGGGGTTTAGGGTTTAGGGGTTTAGGGGTTAGGGGTTTGGGGTTTAGGGCTTAGGGGTTCAGGGTTTGGGGTTTAAGGTTCTTCCAGGTACGCCAACGCCGATCTTCAACTTCTACTCACCCGCCATCCTCATCAATTGCAGGCATTTGGGTTTAGGGTTTAGGGTTTAGGGTTTTAGGGTTTAAGGGTTTACGGTTTACTTTCTTCCGGGATCTGTTTTTTGGATCCTCCCGGTCTGGGCCTGCATCCTGAATAGCCCTGATATCTGCTACTTCTATGTTTCTATGCTCTAGGGGGGGGGGTAGTCACAACACATGTTTAGGATTGCTTGTGTTTTTTCTCAACATCTAGCCGCAAAACATATTTAGGATTGCTTGGCTTTTTGAAACATCCATAGCCGACTACCAACGGTGAGCTAAGGGAAGCCTCAGCCTCTGAACACCCTGAACGGGCCTACAAAAATATGGGTCTCTACCTTGGACCCCTAAGGTGATGGTACCCTTGGGCTTGGGGTTTGGGGTTTGGGGTTTAGGGTTTAGGGTTTAGGGTTTAGGGTTTAGGGTACTAGGGTTTGGGGACCCTTCTTTAAGATCCTTCAGGGGAGTACAAGGGCCATGTTCGGAGTATGTTAAGGAAACCTCTTAGGGGTACATCCTTGGGGGTCCGAGTATGCCTCCCTTGAACAAACACCCTCGGAACCCAACAAGCCACCCCAAACCCTAAACCCTAAACCCTAAACCCGAAACCCGAAACTCTAAACCCTAAACCCTAAACCCGAAACCCTAAACCCTAAACCCAAACCTCAAAACCCTAAACCAAGAACGGCCTGTGATGGCCACCGACGTCTCCTCCTCTTCCTGGTCCGGTGGCAGCGTCCAGAGCAGTACGTCGTCCAGGGCATCAAGCCTGCCCGACTATAGGGTTTAGGGGTATGTAGGTTTAGGGTTTATAAGTTTAGGGTCTAGGGTCAGAGTCTAGGGTTTAGCGTTTCGGGTTTCCTTTGGGGGGGGAAGGGGTCCTTACGTTAAAGGTGCCGCACCAATATTATCGGGCGCCCAAAAGGGACTCGAAGTCAGAGAACTACCCACATCCCAGACTTTAGGATCTAGAAGTACAGAAACGGCGACCGGGGTCCGAGTTGGAGATGCTTGAAGGGGTCTGGGGTGCTTTCAGGGTCCAGGGGCCTTCGCGGGTTTGGGGGTGTTGGGTTTGGAGAATGTTCTGAGGGGAGATTGGGGGCTCGACTGTCGTCAGTTGGGCCCCAAAGCCTGTCATGTCGCACCGCGTCTACTAAACCTCCTCTAAGCGGCTATTCAGGACTGTGTGACCGTTGGGGGGGTGCCTAGGTGGGATCCGCTACTAACGTCAAGTGTTCCAGGTGACGTAATAATATTTCGTGCGGGGCGCGGTTAAAATCAATTGCGGGGCCTCCCTGTCCCTTTGTAAATTCATATACGCTCATCCCGTTGAAGAAATTGAAAGCCGGGACTGTCAAAAGACGGCCAACATCGGCTTCGACTCGTTCGGGGTGGGATGGGTTCAGGGTTCAGGGTTCAGGGTTCAGGGTTCAGGGTTCAGGGTTCAGGGTTCAGGGTTCAGATGGGTTCAGGGAGTAGGGTTTAGGGTTTAGGGTTTAGGGTTAGGGTGAGGGGGGGGGAGAAAACTAAGGGTGCAACATTGACAACACTTGCCTCCAGGTGCTGTCGAAGAAGCTCCGGAGCTCCAGCCCGCCTTGCAGCACAATATCCCAGACCCCTGGGAGGAACCCTAAACCCTAAACCCTAAACCCTAAACCCTAAACCCTAAACCCTAAACCCTAAACCCTAAACCCTAAACCCTAAACCCTAAACCCTAAACCCTAAACCCTAAACCCTAACCCTAAACCCTAAACCCCTTAAGGGTCCCTAAGAATGACCCAATAGTAGTATAGGGTTACTATTTGGGGGGGTTCTACTTTTTGGATCCTCCCAGGGGTCGGGGATAGCATACAGCACAATCCAACCTTGAGAACTCTGGGGGCTCAGGGTTTTGGGGTTGTAGGGTTTAGGAACTCAAACTCAGACTTCCCAGAACAGCACAGGCCCATAAATTCGGGAAGCCCTAAGCCCAAGCACCTTAAACCCTAAGCGCAATAAACTCAAAACTCCACGCCACACCCCGAACACAAACTCAGGCATAGAAGGAGGGACCCTGCACCCTACTAGCCTAACGTCACAACCCAGACTCGTGAGAGGATCCAAAATATAGATCCCCTTCAGGGTTCCTAAGAATGACCCAATAGTAACTATAGTGTAGGGTACTATTCGGGGGTTCTACTTTTTGGATCCTCCCAGGGGTCTGGGAAGGACTGTAAACCCACCTTGAGTCCTGAACCTTAAGCCCCTCAACCCTTGAACCCCTGAACCCTAAATCATGGACCCCTAAACCCTGAACCACTAACATACTAAAACCCCTGAACCCCTACACCCTGAACACTAAGACCCCTAAACCCTCAACCCTAAACCGTTTAGCCTAAACCCCTAAACCCTCTCCCAGGCCTATGCCAGGTACCTTCGAGTCGGCGCGGTCTCGGATAAAGCCGGCGGCCAGGATGTAGATATCCCAGGTCTTGGAACCTCCGAGGCTTTCAAAACCAAGAAAGGAAACAGGGTTTAGGGTTTAGGGTTTTGGGTTTAGGGCTACCTTCTTGGGGGATGACGGAATCACCACCTTCCGGCGGTACCTGAAAACTGGGTTTAGGGTTTAAACCTAAAACGTAAAGGGTTTAGGGCCTTATAGGGCTTCGGGCTTAGGGTTTAGGGTTTCGGGTTTAAATCCCCCCCTCCCCCGCGGCCCCCCCCCCCCTGCCTTTCTTTGAGGGCCCTCTGTGAGCCCTCAAGCAGGGTTTAAGCCCTAAACCCTAAGCCCTAAGCCCAAATCGAAAAAGGCGCTGCCGAGCCACCATCGGGGCTGAACACGTGGACGCGCTGGAAGAGCTTCCGCAGCGTGCCTTCGCGGCGCAGTTCTTTTTTTGCAGGGTTTAGGGTTTAGGTTTTTGGAAGCCGAAACCCTAAACGCTAGACTTACCAAGTCAAAACAGCTTCCAAGTAACCAAGCGGTACCCTAGCCCTAAGCCCCAAAACCCTAGACCCTAAACCCTGAACCCTAAACCCGAAACCCCTCACGTTCGCATTCCTTCGCGGTTTAGGGTTGAAGGTTCCCAGAGACTCCAAAACCCCTTAATTAAGGAATATCCCTTAAATCCTAATAGGAGCCCTAGTATGATTTTAAGGTAGATTCCTTAATTAAGGGGTTTTGGAGTTTCTGGGTTTGGGGTTGAGGAGCGCAGGCAGGCTGGGATTGCCTGCCCGCTCCATTCTCTGATCTACCTGCTAATCTTCCGTCTGAAACCTCCACAAAGCATCTCTAGCCCCAAGGGCCCATTTAGGGTTTAGGGTTTAGGGTTTAGGTTGAGGGTGCCATGTGATTATATGCTTGCCTACGTATATAGGAAGCACCTTTAACGGCCCAAGCATTCCCTGTTTAGGTACATTGGACCCTTAGGGGTGAAGGGTTAAACCGACGTCAGCACAAACACCGAAGCAGCCGACTTCTGCGCACATCTCTTGCCCCTTTGACTGACTTGACGCGAAAACATCTAAGAACATGCTCATCTTCCTCAGTCCAGCGCTGCAATTCCCAGGTGTTAGTCTGCATAAGTACAGACCGCACCCAAGCCCCACAACCCGAAAAGCCGGTTGCACAAGAAGCACCGATCAAGAATCAACCTCCAAGGCGAACTTAGCTGAGAAGAGGCCGCTTTGGGCTCAGGGCTCTACAAGCCTCTCTGCGACTTACAACCCCCAACCCCCAACCCCCAACCCCCAACCCCCCACCCCACCTACCCAACACCCCTGTTGTCATGGATATCTCACGGAAGCCCCGAAACCGCAGAGGCAGAACTCCGCCCCTGATTCTCATGATTTTGAGGCTTGGTGGCTTTGGGAGCTCGTGTTTCGAGTTCAGCATCCACCCCCAAATCTCCCTTCGCCCCACACGGCGCCTGCAATAAAGAAGAGTACCGGGTGAACTGGCAGCCCGGGCCACAGGAGCACCAAGGAACCATCCTTGCCAAGCACTAGAAGCGGGTTCCAGAAACCTTCAGTTTTCTAACCGTCTATACTCAGGCATTCTCGCACCCGCTGAATCTCGCTGATTCTGGAACCCCAAACCCCAATCTCTAAACCCTGACAGGGTCTCTTGAAACTTGAGAAACTCTCTGTTTAGACCTCCTCTAGGTGTGGGGTTTAGGGTTGCAGGACTATCTTGGAGGCTCATTAGTAACCAAATTACAACGGCAGATTTAACCCAAGTAAAACCCCATTGGGGTACTTAAGGCGGCTTATAAGCCAGGTTCCAACTACACTTATAATTCGGTTATAAGTATCCTGAACCTCCAAGTAGCGTTCTTAAACCCTCAACCCTAAACCCTAAACCCTAAACCCTAAACCCTAAACCCTAAACCCTAAACCCTAAACCCTAAACCCTAAACCCTAAACCCTAAACCCTAAACCCTAAACCCTAAACCCTAAACCCAGCCTTCGTCAGCCTCCCCAGTGCCACGTTCAGGCAGTTCCGCAGAGCGCGTAGGCGCCGGCGAACCCGCTCGTTGCGGGTCAGGCCGACGACGCCGTAGCCTCGCTTTTGGGGCTTTGGGTTGGGTTTAGGGTTTAGGGTTTAGGGTTTAGGGTTTAGGGTTTAGGGTTTAGGGTTTAGGGTTTAGGGTTTAGGGTTTAGGGTTTAGGGTTTAGGGTTTTAGTGTTTAGGGTTTAGGGTTTAGGGTTTAGGGTTTAGGGTTTAGGGTTTAGGGTTTAGGGTTTAGGGTTTAGGGTTTAGGGTTTAGGGTTTAGGGTTTAGGGTTTAGGGTTTTTAGGGCAGTTTGGGGTTTCGGGCTCGAAGCTTCTGAGTTCCTACCCAAATTGCGAAACCCTTGGAAGACCCCCCCCCCAACCTAGAAATCAAACACAACACCCCAACAAACCAGGCAATTGAGCCCTAAAATCCCTAAACCCTAAACCCGAAACCCATGTCCAGAACCCAGCGCCTGAGGAGGTCATCGGCGGCAGGGGCGGCAGGGGCGCGTTCTCCAAGCGCTCGCCTGGCACCTGGACCTTCGGGGTTTGGGGTTCAGGGTTTAGAGCTCTGTTGGGCTTCTTTCTTCTGAGAGGGGGAGGGGGAGGGAACGCGGGGGAGGAAGGGAGTGTGGGGAGTGTGGGGTTTAGGGTTGAGGGGGAGGGGAGGGGCTTTCTGAGGTGCGAGTTTCGGCGTGCAAGAGTTTAGAGGCAGAGAGTTGAGGGGTGGGGGTTTGGGGTCTGTGCCGGCATGAGATTGAAGCAGTTAAACCCCGAAAATCCCTAAACCTTAAACCCTAAACCCTAAACCCCAAACCCCAAACCCTAAACCCTAAACCCTAAACCCTACACCCCAAACAAACCAAACAACGAACTCTGGCGCGGCCTCTGGCTTGCGATTCTTCTTTTCTTCCTGCCTGGGGTCAGGAAGCTTGGAGGTCTATACGGCTTTAGCTTGAGATGTTCACCTTTAGTCTAACAGTCCTTGATCAGCATCATGATAGCGGGTACTAGAATCCCCATTAAGAACTGTTAGTATAAGGGGAAACATCCCAAGCATTAGGACACGTCCGAGTTTCGGGCTTCTTGCGTGTTTGGAGCTGAGGGGTTTTGGGCTTTTGGGCTTTTGGGTGGCTGAGGCTGCCATTTGGGTGGCTGGTGCCTCGCTTGCAGCTTCTCCTCGTAGTCTTCGTCATGAGGGTCGATCATCTCCATGTCCTCGCCACCGCGCCCCCAGCCGGCCCCTAAGCTGTAAACCCTGAAACCTCAACCCTAAACCCTGAAACCCTAAACCCCTAAAACCCTAAACCCCCTTCATCTAAGGTTGCCCGAACCCCCCACAAGATGGGCCCTGCGATGATCAGATGACGAATATGGGGTCCTTGTCTACAAGCTTCTGTTGTTTGGGTACCTGGAAGACCTTTTGCCGTAGTAAGTAGGGTTAGTAAGTTGGGTTCTGAGATTTTCACAGGGTCTCTAGGGTTTACTAGGTAGACTTACTAAGTCAAAAGAGCTTCCAAGTAACCAAGTGGTACCCTGAGTATGCGGGACGCTTTCTCTCTTTCTGGCTTCCGAGCTATGAGACTCTCCGACGTGGCCAGACACTCACGAACCTGTGCAACCCTAAACCAAACATAATATAAAGCCCTAAACCACAATTTGCCTAAGAACCACCCAAATTATTTTACTTCGAACATCCCCACCCTCTCTTGGTAGAGATACTCTGGGTGGGCAGTCCGGGGGGCACTCTGGGGTTGGGCACGAGGGAGACTCTGGGGCTGGGCACTCTGGGCACAGTCTAAACCCTAAACGCTAAACGCTAAAGGCTAAACTAAACCCTAAGCCCTAAACCATAGACTAAACCCTACACCCTAAGGCCCTAAACCTTCCTTAGACTCCGGCCTCTCGAGAGTTGAACGGCACATTGACATACCTGAACAAGGGCTCACAAGGCAATGTGGTTGGAACTAAACTCTGGGCTTGGGTTTTAGGGTTTCGGGTTTAGGGTTTAGCGCTTGGGTTTTAGGGGGGGGGGGTCTTTGATAGTCTGCACAGTATGAAGTAAGGTTTCTTCTTTTCATGACCAGCATCCGCAAAAGGACGCCCAACCAAAGTCTATAAGCAACCTGCGGTAACCTGCGTGAGAGATTTCGATTACGCACGAGGATCCCCACTTGATTTCAACTATGGGTATTGGTGTCTCAGCTCTGAAACGCAAAAGAGATTTGCAGCCCTCATGCGCTTTGGGGATGGAGGCTTCGGGTTTGGCGTTTAGGGTTTGGGGCTTTGGCGTTTCGGGGGGTGGGTCGTCGGGGGTATTTTTGGGTTGAGGTTTTAGGGGCTTGCCCCCTACTATAGGAACCTCGCAACCTTATTTTAGAACCCCCCCCCCCCCCCCCAAAAGAAAAACATCGTCACTGCCAAAGCCACGCCAGCTGGAAGGTTGCAGGCTTCGGAATGAGGCCACCTGTGTCGTTCAGGAGGTCGTCCATGCGCTTCTGGTCCTCGCATGCCCCCACAAATTAACCCAGCGGGTCCGAAGACCCTATCGTCATGGTTTTAGGTCCCAAAAACCAAAATTCCAAGACACTTTGGGCCCTAAACCCAGAACTCTATAGCCCTAAGGGTGCATGTACCTAAATAGGGAATGCTTGGGCCTCGACGTACTTCCTACACAGGGACTTTGGGACCAAAGTATATATTAATAAGGTGCGTGGACACTTAGGGTGGGGTATTTGGACCCGCTAGGTACGGTTTGGGGTTTTAGGGTGCTCGTTTAAGGTTGTCTACGCGGAGCCACGGCTCGAGTCTATAGGGCCACCATCAACACAGACCACCATGAATACCCCTAAACCCTAAACCCTAAACCCTAAACCCTAAACCCTAAACCCTAAACCCTAAACCGACCTCGGTGGCTCTACAGGTTCGGCCCTTGTGCCTCTGCGTCGGCGGGATCGATGTTGACGTACTGCAGGCAATCCTGCCGTGGAACTTATGGGGGATGCTACATGATGGGCCTTCGGTCACTACAACCCTAAACCCTAAACCCTAAACCCTAAACCCTAAACCCTAAACCCTAAACCCTAAACCCTAAACCCTAAACCCTATAAGCCCCAAGCCCTAAACCCTATCAGCCCCAAACGCTAAACGTCCCAAACGTTAGGGATGTCCAAGGTGGGCCCATCAGCCGATCACCCTGCAAAGGCCGCTGCAAGCTCCGGCTTCCAACCCTTCTTTCAAGCCGGTGTTGAAGGGGGTTTAGGGTTTAGGGTTTAGGGTTTAGGGTTTAGGGTTTAGGGTTTAGGGTTTAGGGTTTAGGGTTCGTACCCGTAGGGTTGTGTTCCTAAAGGTCCCTCAATGTACTCCGAATATGGCCCTTATATTCTTTTAGATCCTGAAAAAGGGTCCCGAAACCCAAGGATACAACTTTAGGGTTCAGGGTTCAGGGTTCAGGGTTCAGGGTTCAGGGTTCAGGGTTCAGGGTTTAGGGTTTAGGGTTTAGGGGTTCAAGATCGAGTCCCATGATTCTTATCTAGGAGCCACACCCTGCAGCATAGGCAAGGCAATGTAGGGTTCAGGGTTCAGGGTTCAGGGTTCAGGGTTCAGGGTTCAGGGTTCAGGGTTCAGGGTTCAGGGTTTAGGGTTTAGGGTTTAGGGTTTAGGGTTTAGGGTTTAGGGTTTAATAAACCTAGACCGACCCACACCTCGCAACCCTAAAAGCCCAGACCGCTGGAGCTGTCCTCGTTGCCCTTGGGCGGCTTGAAGGGACCCACCTTGACAGCCCACAGGGGGGGGGGGGGGTGTTGGGGGGTCCCTGGACCGAATCGTGAAGAGGAGGGCCCCCCCAAAAACCCTCAACCCTAGACCTTGACAAGGGTCTAGGGTTTATAGTGGTTAGGGTTGTAACTAGCACCTGAGCCTTTTTCGGTAGAACCCATATCCAACCTTCCTGCTTGCTTCGCCGATGGAACCGGGTTACCCTAAACCCTAAACCCTTAACGTTTAGCCCTAAACCCTGAAAAACAGCTGGGCCGCGCAGACGCCCGTCCACCCCAGCTTGGTCAAGAAGTCACTAAGCTGCTCCTGGCGTCATGGGATCTTCGGGGGAATGTAGGGGCTACTTAGGTTTCTGGGACTTTTGAAGGTATATATAGGGGCTATATCAGGGAATAAAATTATGGGTTCCTTCTAGAAATCCCTCCTTGTATCCCTTAAGCTTCCTAGGTTTGGCGCTTAAAGCCCCCTGAGCTAGAATTCCTAAATATGCGATCCCCTTGGACTCTTCGTGATTTCAAGGTACTAGTTTGCCTAGGCTGCGACAACCCTGAACCCTAAACCCTAAACCCTAAACCCTAAACCCTAAAGCCTAAACCCTAAACCCTCTGAGGATGCTCTGCCCGACCGGGTTTAGGGCATAGAGTTTAGCGTTTGCCGGGGCAGGTTTGGGTGCCCTATCAAGATTTTATTTTGTTTATGGCTTTAGGGTTTAGGGTTTAGGGCTTAGGGTTTAGGGTTTAGGGTTTAGGGGTTAGGGGTTAGGGGGGAGTAGGGGTAGCAAGAATTGAAAAGGATGTTCTAACCTACCCCTGTTTAGGGTTGGGGTTTGGGCGATGTAGGATTCAGGCCCCACATCCGAAACGCAGCGGCAGACTAACCCCCCCCTGAGACCCGCCTACTCTACACGGACCACCCCAAACCCTAAAACCAAAACCCAAAACCCTAAAACCTAACCGAAATCCCAAGCCCTGAACCCCAAACCCGAAAACCAGTAGTAGACCGTAAGCCCTCGGTGGTTCTGGCCGCCCAACTTGTTCAGGAGTGTCCCTTGTTGAGGTCCTTTCGGAACATCCCAGCCCTAAAGGCGCTTCCAACGGAGGATCCCTAAACCCGAAACCCTAAACCCCAAACCCTAAATCCTAAACCCTGAACCCGAAACCCCAAACCCGAAACCCCAAACCCTAAACCCGAAACCCCAAACCCCAAACCCCTGAGCCCGAAAGACCCCAACACCCCTTAGAAGAACATGGGCGCTCCGTGAGAGGCTGGGTGCCGATGTGGAGGAAAACCTCACTATCTGGCGTTTAGGGTTCAGGGTTTAGGGTTAAGGGTGTAGGGTTTAGGGTTAAGGGTTTAGGGTTCTGGGGAAGATAGTGGATAGGCTTAGAAACTTAGGGTTTAGGGTTTAGGGTGTAGGGCCTTGGGGCACATGACAGGCTGAGCAAGGTCATCATCAGCACGTATAAAGCTCAAGCTGTGTTGGGGCCGGACCCTAAACCCTAAACCTTAAACCCTAAACCCTAAACCCCTAAACCCTAAACCCTAAACCGACAGCCTGAAGCAGAGGGGGGCTTTTGGGCAAAGAGGTTTGCGGGTTTAGGTTTCAGGCGTGGCGCTTTGGGGGGTTTGGACCTTTGCTGGGCACGTAACCCTGCTGCTTGGGCACCCTAAACCCTAAAACCCATCACTTCACAATCCCGGAAGCACGATGGCTTCCGTCACTTAGCCGACACTTTCCCGCCACTTGGACAAAAACATTAAGCACTGATGTTTCGCAAAGCAACTTTTAATGTACACATTTGTCATTTCTTTCGAAAACACGGCACCAAGTCACTTCCAAATAGTCTGGAACCCCTCAACTGGACACCGAAAGCTGAAAAAAAAAACAACCAAATCCCTAATCTAACCCTGTATCCCGAAGCAAGCCCCATCAACAAGACACCCTACACCCGAAACCTTCAGATCCCCCCCCCCCCCCGCCACCGCCCACCCCTCGCACCCTAAACCCTACACCCTACACCCTACACCCTAAACCCTAAACCCTCAACCCCAGCTCTTGCAGCCGCGGCTGCGCAGGGCTGCCGCCGCTTCTTTGGGCGTTGCATGAGAGGCCGCCATGTGGGTTCCTCATTCCAGCGAGGGTTTAGGGTTTAGGGTTTAGGGTTTCAGAGGCTTCATAGGGTTCAGGGGGTTCATAGGGCTCATAATCCGAGCACCTGTTTAATTGGGCCCCCCCCCCGCCGCAGTAAGAAAGGCAGGGTTCCGCAATAGTTGGACCATGGCCCTGTAGTGATTCTCTATTAAACACAATAGGCTGCAGATCCCCGAGGTGCTGTAGCTTCGCAGCTCAGCAAGCAAAACAAGAAGCCTGCCGACAGATTTTGGAAACCCCCCCCGAAGAGATTTTCTTTAAATGTGCTGGGTTTTCCTACGAAAACCCCCCTGATGGACGAACAGGGCGCCAGGAAGAAGGGCCTCTGTGGCTGCAGGGGCGGTTCAGGGTTTGGGGTTTAGGGTAGCGGGTTTAGAGGCTTTAGAGGGTTTAGAGGGTTCAGAGGGTTTAGGGGGTTCAGAGGGTTTATGTAAGGTTTATAGGGATTAGGGCTTGGGATGCAGCACTTCGGGCTTAGGGCGGGCTTGGGGTGCTGGGTTTAGGGGTTAGGGCAAAGATTTCGGGTTTGAGAGAGGGGGGGAGGGTCTCTCTAAACCCTAAACCCTAAACCCCAAACCCTAAAGCCTAAACCCTAATCCCTAAACCGGTGTGGTTCGATGTTTAGGTTTGGGGCTTTTGGATCTGCGGGGCGTTCCAGAGCTCAGATCTCTACTCCGAGGTTCATGGTACTCAGTAACCCAATGATAGCTGTACTTATAACGCAATGGTAACCCTACCAGGCCAGCATACTTAAGGGGCTTTATAAGTGGGTCCCAACTACACTTATTAATTCGGTTCCTAAGTACCCTGAACCTCCGCAATCACTGCATGACTGATATCTGTGTGTCGGCTGCGTAGAGAAGTTTTTACACTTGTGGCGGTTTCTGGGCTCCTCAAACCCTAAACCCTAAACCCTAAACCCTAAACCCTAAACCCTAACCCCTAAACCCTATGACCTAAACCCTAAACCCTAAACCCTAAACCCTAAACCCTAAACCCTAAACCCTAAACCCTAAACCCTAAACCCTAAACCCTAAACCCTAAACCCTAAACCCTAAACCCTAAACCCTGCACAGCTGTCAGGTTCTGGGGTGTTGGGTTTGGGCTGCAGAGCTCAGGGCCCCAAACCCTAAACCCTTCAGTCGCAGGCGCCGTCTGGGCGAAGAGGTTGCTGTGGATGGCCTGAGTCTGGTTTAGGGTTGAGGAGTTTAGGGGTTTAGGGTCTAGGGTTTAGGGTTTAGGGCTTATCTAAGAATAACTCACCTTACCCCAAACCCATACCCCTTAACCTATGACAGTTTTATAAACAGGCAGTCTAAGGGAGGACTTTACCATACCCCTTAATTTCTTTTTGAGTGGTATTCCCTAGGGGTATGTTGATATACTTATTAGATTTTAGGGTTTAGGGTTTCTATATGGGTTCATATTTCCGAACCCCCGAAAGGACACCCACGACATACGCTCACCAATATTAGAAAGGTACCTTATATACACTCACCAATAACAGAAATATAAACTTCATTTGGCCTCCCTACTAAATTTTGAAGTAGGGTGTGTTTTCTAGTATCCCCAATAACTAGGACACTATGTACATACATATATATATATATATATGGTGCAGCGTCGCTGCCCCCCCCCCCCCCCACCCCCCCCCCCACCCCCCCCACCCCATGACCCCCCCCCCACCCCCCCCACCCCATGGTACCCCCCCCCAAGGCCCCCCCCAAACTCTTTCCCCGCCCCGCCCCCCTGTGGTTTGGGCCCCTCTGTGGGGTGGTGTGGTTGGGGTTTGGGTTTGTTTAGGGTTTAGGGTTTAGGGTTAAGGGTTCAGCATCTCAGGTCCAAGCATTCACTTGTCAAGAATTTACTCCAGAAAAATACCCACCCGCCCGAAGAATCCCACAACATTATGAAAATATTTCACTTATGGAACGACCTTGCCCAGTAAAAAAATAACCCTGCCCAGTAAAAACATGACCTTGCCCAATAAAAAAATGACCTTGCCCAGTAAAAAATGACCTTGCCCAGTAAGAAAATGACCTTGCCCAGTAAAAAAATGACCTTGCCCAGTAAAAAACTGACCTTGCCCAGTAAAAAAATGACCTTGCCCAGTAAAAAAAATGACCTTACCCAATAAAAAAAGGACCTTGCCCAGTAATGACCTTGCCCAGTAAAAAAATGACCTTGCCCAGTAAAAAAATGACCTTGCCCAGTAAAAAAATGACCTTGCCCAGTAAAAAATGACCTTGCCCAGTAAAAAAATGACCTTGCCCAGTAAAAAAATGACCTTGCCCAGTAATGACCTTGCCCAGTAAAAAAATGACCTTGCCCAGTAAAAAAATGACCTTGCCCAGTAAAAAGATGACCTTGCCCAGTAAAAAGATGACCTTGCCCAGTAAAAAGATGACCTTGCCCAGTAACATTTTTACTGGGCAAGGTCATTTTTTTACTGGGCAAGGTCATTTTTTTAATGGGCAAGGTCGTTTTTTTGGACGAAACGACCTTGCCCAGTAAAAAAAAATTAATGACCTTGCACAGTAAAAAAATGACCTTGCCCAGTAAAAAAATGACCTTGCCCAGTAACTCCTTAACATTTAAATTATATATGAAAGAGAGGTTGAGGGTTTAGGGTTTTAGGGTTTAGGGTTTAAGGGTTTACGGGTTTAGGGTCCCCGCCCCGCCCCCCTGTGGTTTGGGCCCCCCTGTGGGGTGGTGTGGTTGGGGTTTGGGTTGAGGGTTTAGGGTTTAGGGTTTAGGGGTTTACGGGTTTAGGGGTTTTGCGTTTTGGGTTTTGGGTTTAAAGTTTAGGGTTTAGGGTTTAGGGGGGGTTGGGGGGGGGGGATACCATGGGGGGGGGGGTGGGGGGGGGGGGTTGGGGGGGGGGGGGTGGGTGGGGGGGGTGGGGGTGGGGGTGGGGGGGGGGGGGGTGGGGGGGTGGGGGCGGGTACCGACACGGACACGGAACCATATATATATATATATATATATGTATGTGTGTGTGTGTAAAGACACTCACCAATACTGTTAGGAAACCATCTCTGCACTGACCGAGCATCGCAGGGAGCAATGTACACACTACCTCAATATGGTTTCCTCGTCCAAAGACGGGTGCCTTCGGGCTCTGAATCCTGAAATTCGGAAGCCCATGTGCCAAAAATCTCTAACGATACCCGGGCCCTAAACCCAAAACCCTAACCTCTAAACCCTAAACCGCGAACGCCGTTTCCTCAAACCCAAAGACCCAAACCCACCGGCCTTGCACTCCAACCCCGCCCCTCCCAACCTGAGAGCAGAATCCTGAACCCGCAAAACCCATAGGGTTCTTAAGGGAGGGGGGTTCAGGGTTTAGGGTTTAGGGTTTAGGGTTTAGGGGTACCTAGGGAAGCTTAGGGAAGCAAAGGAAGGGTCGCGGGGAGTATTAGGGAACCTTGGATTACATGCCTGCACACAACTAGCCAGCAAGGTTAGGTTGGGCCGTGGGGTTGGGGCCTAAACCCTAAACCCTAAACCCTACACCCTAAACCCTAAACCAGGGTTCAGGGTTTGGGGCTGTACTTGGAGGTTCAACGGTAGTTCCAACTGGGCTCTCAGCAGGGTAACTCTTGTTACAAGTGGCCCATAGCAACTGAACCCCAACCCCCCCCCCCCCCCAAAAAAAAAGAAAGAAACTCTGACAACTGAAACAAGTCTCAAACTCCAAAACACCTCAAATACCTTAAACTACCCTCACCCTCCAAAAACACATGTGTACACAGATTGCATATATATTTGTATATTTATTTATTTATTTTTTGTCTATTTATTTATTTATGCATTCATTATCAGGATTATGAAGATTTGCAATACTATTATTTCTACTTTTCATTATCATCTTATTTTATGCATTCATATATCGACAAACCCCTCAAAACCCGACCTTTATCTTGGGGCTCTGAGAACCTGACGCCGACCATGGAACCTAAACCCTAAACCCTAAACCCTAAACCCTAAACCCTAAACCCTAAACCCTATAGCCCTAAACCCTAAACCCTAAACCCTAAACCCTAAACCCTAAACCCTAAACCTACAGAGCAAACCTTTGGAGCCAAGGCACCGCGTCGTCGTGATGAACGTTGAGCCTCTTGGCCGCCACGGTGCTTTTTGTTGTTGGCTGCTGGAAAAAGAAACATGAAGAACCATTTGGGAAGTTCCCCTTTATACTAACAGTCCGTAAGAGGGTTTATAGTACCCCCTAGTATAATCCCGATTAAGGCCGACAATATTCTGATAATATGAACAACCCTAAACCCCCAAATCCTCAATCTCCAGCAGGCCGGGAGGCAGGGGAATGTCTCGAAAGCGCAGCCAGTTCTCGTACTCCATCCTCCTCTCAAGATGCATATCATGGCTTGTTCGTCTAAACAGTTTGTGGTTTAGGTTTAGGGTTTAGGGTTTAGGGTTTAGGGTTTAGGGTTTAGGGTTTAGGGTTTAGGGTTTAGGGTTTAGGGTTTAGGGTTTAGGGTTTAGGGCTATAGGGTTTAGGGTTTAGTGTATTCAAGTTCCAAGGTCTTCTAAGAAAACGAATGAAATGTTTCGGCCCGAGGGGCTTGGCTGCCTGCATGATGGCATCCATCATGAGCTGCAGCCCGGCACTCCTGAAGGTTTAGGGTTTAGGGTTTAGGGTTTAGGGTTTAGGGTTTAGGGTTTAGGGTTTAGGGTTCGTCTTGGTAGCCCCAGTAACCATATTGGAATAAAGGGCACCCTTTCTTTGGTTGGTTACTTTGTAAGGGAACCCAGACCAAAAAAAGGTAAAGGGTACCACTGGGCTACAAATTCATGTGGAGCTTCTTTTTTTGTTTCAGTAGGGTCGTTACAACAAGCCCAAAAAATTCATAACCGGGTACAACGACAGTTGCCCGCCATGAAGCCTCGACCATTGGGATTGCCCTCATTGTTCGGGCGTTTGTGGCTCAGGCTTGAAAGAGGCTTCAGGGTCTTTCGGGGTTGAGGACTTAGGGGTCACTTTGACCTAAACCCCAAACCCCTAACCCCTGACCCCAAACCCCAAACCCCAAACCCCAAACCCCAAACCCTAAACCCTAAACCCTAAACCCTAAGCCCGACTCAAAATCCCAAAGCCCTGCATGTCTGACGAGGCACTTGGCTATGCAGGAATCGAAGGCGTCCTGTCTCTG